CAATGGTGAAGCATGGTAAACAACAAGGTTTGATTTTTTTTTTTTTTTTCATTTTATTGGAAACAGACCCATTTGGGTGTTGCTTGAGCTTGCAAAAGGTTAATTTGTTATAGAATTGCATGATTTTGAACATATCCACTCATGGGTATTATGCCTCGACTTTATTCGGTGTTTCCCCTAATCATTAAATCGGTTCCAATATCTGTTGTTCTGTTGTTTGGGTTTGCAAAGATCATTTATTTGTTGTCGAATTTCATGATTTTGTAATAGTTTTCTCTTGGGTATTATTCTTATGATATGGGAAAGAGGCTTATTGTATTTTTCGTACTGGTTCTATAGTATGTGTCATGCGCAGTAATGGTATTAATAGTGCATTTAGATGTATTGACACAGGGTACTTGAAGTATAATGTTTGGTGGTTCTGTAGTATAAGTCATATGCCACAATAGTATTGCTAGTGCTGTTGAGTGATATTGCTAGTGCATTCGAATAGTATAATGTTTGATTGTAGTGTAGTATGTGTCATATGCAACAATGGTATTGCTAGTGCATTTGGATGGTATTGAACGAAATTACTGGAAGTACTAGTAGTTGAACTTTATAGTACGTTGTATTTGTTATAATTGTAGTTTTATGTGTATGTAATTGCAGGAATTGATGTAAAAGAAGATTGCAGTAAGCTATCAATAGGCTGCAGGTGCTCACCGATCGCTTTTCAAATAGATGAATGTGTTTTTTGTGCCATAAACAATCTGTCCTTTTGTTGTAGAGCTAATAATACTATTGATTAGCTCTACTCGTACTTTTCCATTGTATACATTGTACTACATGTTTCGATGAAATGTACTTACCTTTTGAACACATGGTACTTTATTTTGCGATTAATTAGTTTGTATAAAGAATATAAGCGTACCATAAAAATGAGCAACAAATACTTTCTAGTCTATTCGAAGATACTTTGTCAACACTAGACTTGTACTTACTTGATGAACAAAGCGTACTTCACATGTGTATTCACGAAAAACTTACCATAATCGATGTTGATCGACTCCCACATTGTTCCTATTCATTCTTAATAGTTTTAAACTGAAGAGTTGTGTCTTAAAATGCGATCATATGGATGCATTGGCCCAACAATAATATATAGAGTGTAACAATACTATATGAATGGCAAACATATACTTTATCAGTGAACAAAGCGTACTATAGTCACGAATCACTTGTACTTCACATGTGTATTCATTGTACTTACTTGATGAACAAAGCGTACCATATTTTTTGATGAATTGAATTGTACCAATTTCATTGACGCTTTAATGATCAATAAGTACGGGAGATGCATAAATTATGTTTTAGATGATTATTTTAAGGTAAGTGAGCATTATTGTTGCGTTTGGAATACAAGATCCCATAAATATGTTGAATTTCATACATGATACTCATATACTATACAATATATTCATACAAGTCTATAATGCTCAAGTATAAAACTAATATTTTCCTCAATTGTTACCATAATCGATATTGATCAACTCCCACACTGTCTCCATTCATTCTTAATAGTCTTAAACTGAAGAGTTGTGTCTTAAAATGCGATCATATGGATGCATTGGCCCGGAAATAATATATAGAGTGTAACAATACTATATGAATGACAAACATATACTTTATCAGTGAACAAAGCGTACTATAGTCACGAATCACTTGTACTTCACATGTGCATTCATTGTACTTACTTGATGAACAAAGCGTACCATATTTTTTGATGAATTGAATTGTACCAATTTCATTGACGCTTTAATGATCAATAAGTACGGGAGATGCATAAATTATGTTTTAGATGATTATTTTAAGGTAGGTGAGCATTATTGTTGCGTTTGGAATACAAGATCCCATAAATATGTTGAATTTCATACATGATACTCATATACTATACAATATATTCATACAAGCCTACAATGCTCAAGTGTAAAACTAATATTTTCCTCAATTGTTACCATAATCGATATTGATCAACTCCCACATTGTCTCCATTCATTCTTAATAGTCTTAAACTGAAGAGTTGTGTCTTCAAATGCGATCATATGGATGCATTGGCCCGACAATAATATATAGAGTGTAACAATACTATATGAATGACAAACATATACTTTATCAGTGAACAAAGCGTACTATAGTCACGAATCACTTGTACTTCACATGTGTACAAAGTGTACTATATTCACGAATAACCCTAACTTTACCAGCTTATACATTGTACTCTTATGTTCACTAATTAAACAACAGTACATAGGTTTTACATAGCATGTAGACTGCAAATATTACTAGATTCAACACTATCAAACTATGAACTACTCCACCTTCAGAATTGCAATTCGTCACTTCACTTTCTCGATGGACTTGGTTCATCGACGCACTTGTAGCTTCATTTTCTTCACGATTTGAGTTGGAAAAAGTTTGCCCAACTTCAAATGGTTCACACCAATGGGAGTAACCATGGTGTGGGCAACAGTAAAACCCGAACTGCACTTGTGAATGAATTCTTTTTGTCTTTCTACGTCCTGGTCGAGTTCTCAATCAGCTGCATTAACAAAGACATCGGGCGGAGCATTACACGCATCGTACAAGTCAAAGTCCTCATCAAACGAGGGAATTGGGTTAATCGTGAATTGATATACCTGCTTGTACGTATCCGAATAATGGTTACGTACTGTCTTCCCCATTATATTATACTATGTTTTCCCACGAACAGTACCAAATTTACCTATCACCCATACTATTCAGATGAAGGTTACGTATTATCTTCCCCATTATATGATACTATGTTTTCCCACCAACAGTACCAAATTTACCAATCACGCATACTATACGAACAACGATTACGTACTGTAAGTACCATACGTCCATACCATATTTATATTAGCATGATACTATTACGTGCCATATTTTATACTATGTATCACAATAATTAACGACCATAAAGAAATGCATTTCAGCAGTACAGAAAAATATGGAGACCTACCAGCCATCGGTGCGAACCCTCTTTCCACGCGAATTAGCTTCATCTTTGCGGATCACGACAATGTCGACCACACTCATCTTCATTATCAGATGCTTATATCGACAACTTCCAAGAATCACAGTGGGTACATCATTAGATACATCATTTGTAGCCATTGTGGGGTGGGTGGGTTTTACAATGATATTTTCTTTGGAAAAAGAGGAAACCTGAGGAGAGAAAGAGAGAAGAAATAGAGAAGAAAGAGAGCAGATAGAAATGAAGAAAGAGAAGAAAGAAAGAGAAGATGAAGAGAGAGAAAATGAAGAGAGAGAAAATGAGGAGAGAGAAAAGGGTGAGAGTGAAAAAGAAGAGAGATAATATAATAAAATATATAAAATTCACATTAGGGACTGATCTGCATGTCAGACGCGTGAATAGGGACTGAATTGCTTAGGGAAACTACCTAGGGACTGATCTGTGTTTTGAGTTTTGGATTAGGGATTTATCTGTAGTTTCCCCAAAATAAAAACAAATTAAATTATTATTGGAGATGTTAAAAATGTTCAATTCCTATCTAGCTCAAGTCGATAACCTCAAGCTCGAGCTCATTTTATTGTTATTTTTTTTAACATAATATAATATTATAATTTATTAGAATTATTTATAATATAAAAAATGTTATGGAATTAAAAAATTTTGAAATATATATATAAATATAGTTATTGTTATATATATATATAAAAGCTCGTGAGCTGGTTTATGAGCTATGAACAACTAATGATGGGCTCGAGCTCGAAAAACTCTAGCTTTTGTCGAGCCTCATCGAGCTGGCTCGGCTCATTTACACCCTCACTCACATGTTACTAAGATTTCATAGTTGCAACCGAACGAGGCCAAAATCGACAAGAAATCGAAATGCAAAAACAAGTAAGAACATTTTCCGATTTTATTTAAATCACAGAAACAAGTAAACTAAATAGTTTAACCTCCAATTGCTTAGGAAAAATCAGCTCCAACTACTTTTAGTTGGATTCTACAATTAGACCATAAACTTTCCTCAAGAGGGAAACCTATGACTAAATTAGCCTCTATAATACATACATAAACAATCACTTCTACCATGGTTAGTAAAATCAGATCGACGAGTCCTAACTCGGGTCAAATCTCAACTTTCCAAACCACATTATCCACCGCAACTCTCGCTCTGCGCCCTGGAACCGAAATTACCGATTTACCCTTCTCCTCTCGAGGGAATTCGCAGTCTTCCAAATCGCACGGCGGAATAAAGCACTCAACCGAGAGCCCCGGCACATTGAACGCCACCTCATCGATGCTCCAAGATTCCTCCATTCTCGTTCTCGTGTGGCTCATTGCGGTCTCTCCGAACCGAAAAAGGGTCACTATCGAACGACCCGAGTGGGCGATCATCACACCTTCGACGGGTTTGTAATCATGTAGGAAGGAGTTTGTTGTTGTCTCCCAATAGACGACATCTCCACCGTTTGATTGAATGCGCGTGAGATGGGAATCCTCCATGTGGACGAGAAGCCCCGATTTTTGGCTGAAGTGGCCGAAGAGGACGTGGCGTATGATTTCCGCCGGTGGTTCGCTCCGTGATTTTAGGGTTTTGTTGTCGGCGGAGAGTTTGAGAATGAAGCAGTCCTCACCGTTGATTTTCTTCTCGCCGATGCAAATTGCGTTCGCAAACATACTCGCGGTTGTTCTCGGATCGAGTCCCTGCGTAGTCAAAAAACAATGTAAGAGCCAGCGTAGCAGTACGAGGGGTCATGGCCCCCCACTGTTTCTAAAAAAAACATAGTATGTTAGTCAAATCCGAAGAAAAAAAGCCCGAGTAAATTAGGCAAAAAAACCAAAAACAACTAAGAGCATGTGGCAGGGTCCGGCCCCCCGCCCCCCCATTGGTTCTAAGAAACATGGTCATTTATATACAGATTGGATTTACTGAATTCAAGACCATTATATTTACTCTAATTGTTAAAAAAAATATATTAACAAAATATATTAAGAAAATTTAGGGGATGTGCTAAATATGATGCATTACTGGTGGGTTTTGCTAATAGTATTAACACGAGGACTATTTTAGCAATTCGACACAACACAAGGGTACTAAAGTCAATAAACTCATTTTTTTTTTTTTTGATAATTTTCAAGTATACCAAATGTACACAATGATAAAAATCATGGCTCCACCACCGGTAAATTTCAAAAAAAAAAAACATAATTGATCAAGAAAACTAGTCAACAATGGAATTTTTTTCGTATGGATTTCGAACCTGAAGAGAACGTCTCAAGGGTCGAACGGGGCCCTTGGCGGTGTGCGGGCCGAGCCACGGTGTGTGCCGCCAGACGAGCTTGCCGTTGCAGCCGGCATGAACTTTGCTTCCGCCAACTGCCAGCTCAACGTACCACATATCTGGATTCTTCTGCCACAGCACAAAACTACCTGATTCAACGGCTCTATCGGCATTTCTGTTCTTCACTACCCTCGTTGCAGTTTCGAATTCCGATGCTACCATTTTCAACTTCCCCATTGCATAAGCATTTTTAATGGAGTTCTGTACTTTTTGACCCCCTGAAGCAGCTGTGTATTGTTGCAGTATGTATTGTGCCGATGAATTTTCCTTCAATTTTTTTTTTATTTTCAGATAAAATTCATGTTATTGGTTTATTCATCAAAAATCAAATTAAAACTAAATCTCAATCAAATCCACCTAAAACAGCCCTAATCATATATAATTCAGCAAAAAAATAAATAAATTTATACATGTATATAGAGAGAGAAAGGAAGTTTAATACATACAATGGGGGTGTCTTTGATACTGAGATGAGGCAGAGGGTCAGTGGAGCTAACGTGCGCCGGAGCGAGTGGCGCACCCAAAACCCCAAGGAGCAGCCTCAGATCGGAGGTCCTGTTCCCGCCGTAGCCGTTCTCGTACACGGCCAGCGAAGGGTTGCGGGTCAGCTGTCCCCGGACCCACTGCCCTAGACCCGACCCGACGCGTTTCGACCCGCCGATTTCGCCGCCGTCTGGATCCGGACCTTCCATCAGCGGGGTTAGTGTCTCCCCCACCACCCTGAGGCTGCTCGATCTCGATATCGGCGGCTCGCCGTGGTTTCCGCTCGCCGCCTTCTTCCGTCGGAGCAGACGCGCCATCGGCGACGCGCTCCGACCAGGACTACTGGCGCGTGGCCTCGACGGAGATAGCCCACGCACCACCTCCTCCTTCAATGCCGTGAAAAAGCCCTGCCGTTTCTCCATTATTTTTCTGATATATATATTTATATATATATGTACGTACGTATATGCAATTGTGTGTAAAATCACTATATATATATAAGGGGAAAAAAACTATCACGCAGTTTCTGCTCGCTCCTAAAATCTATGGCGGCTGCTCTGTATGTATCTATATGCGATAACTAGATATAGAAACGAGGATTACATGATATAGGCGCCGTCGTCATTTTTTTTCTCACGAAGGTTTTGAATTCTTCATCAAAGCAAAGTGCTGTTCTAGAGAGAGAAAGTATGTTGGTTTTTTTTAGTTAGAGAAATGGCGGAGTGAGGAAAACGTTTGAGTAAAGAGTGGCGTTATTTAGCTAAGCTAGAGAGAGAAAAAGGAAGAGAGAGAAAGTCTGCTGCTGTTTTATCAAAGTGATGAGATGAGATTCTGAACTGTTAAGAGTTTGAGCTCACGCGCTGGGGTCAAAATGTCAATAAGGGTACAATACTTTTTACTTTACACCAACCACCCCGCCGGGAAAACAAAAAAGAAAAAAACCAAATAGTCCCGCCTTCAAACAATTTTTTTATAGCATTTCTACCCCTGAACTTATATCATATAGCACTCACCCCTTGGTAATTTGCATTAATACCTTAGTCATTACTCTCTTTTTTTCTTTCACCATTTAATGTATATTTATATTCTTAATGTTTTTCTACAACTTTTTTCTATGGCCGATAGATTATCTAATGTGATAAGGTGTGTAAATCGAATTAAAATTAACATTTTGAGAAGAAAAGGAAAGAAAAAGGCAATCTTATTGAATAACTACTTTCAATTTCATTCCAAAACTAAAAAAATTGGAAATTTTCGGAAAGAAAATGTAGGAAATTGGAACGGAATTTTTTTATTACAAAATCAGACTTTTTTCGGGCCATAATTGACGGAATTCGAATATTTAGTCACATTTAATATAAAATACATAATAATATTGATATCATAAGTGACTTTCACACGAAAAATAAAAATTTTGGAAATCAAAATCACATAAAAAAAAAAAACAAATATAATATGTATTCAAGTCATTAGAATACTCAAAAATGATCAAAAATTCAAAATTTAGAATTTAGAATGAAAAATATATTTTTTCGTAAAGTATTTGGATCAAAACCGACGAAATTCAAAAATTCCTTTATAATTTTCACCCCTAAATGTGATTGTGGGAAAAGGATGAGAAGTGAGTAAATGGATGTAGGGAAAAATAACGACAACCTAAAGAAAATGCAATTTGTGAAAAGTAAAAAAAAAAGGTTAAATATTAGGGGTGATTGTAATTACTAATATTATAGGGACCTTAAAGTTATTTTAACATATCTCAGTGGTGCTGGTGTAATTTCCCAAAAATAAATATAGGAAAATTGTGGGTTAAGGTTATAAATGCCAATTCTCACTACAGGGGAGGACTAAAATGGTACAAAAATTTATTTAGTGGCGCGTTTGGTACGAGGAGTACACTTTTAGGGGCCAAAATAGTATATTTCAGCCTTGCAATTAATAAGATAATGAATGCTTAAATGCGTTTCCACAAAGAAAATTAGATACATTAATCCAACATTCACATTTAAAGCCTATTTAAGTAGGTGCTATGAATAACTCACTTTCTCTTAATTATTTATAAATTTAACAATTATGCATTCATCTTATTAAATTTTTGTATTGTTTATTTAATTGAGGTGCAACAATTCCCCTCATCCAAATTTTTATAAAAAATATCGGAAGGAATAACTAATGAAAATTCGTCATCGAAAATAAATTTAGTTACTTTGTTAAAAAAAAAATAGCTAGTCGAAACTCGTAAACGTAATATCTTTAGTAGAGCCAGAATTTTAGATTCGGGGAAGAAAAAAAAAATTCAGTAATAATGAGGGGGCTATGGCCCCTGTGACCCTATGCTGGCTCCGTCACTGTTTGTTACGCTCGTAATATATTATTCTTATGTATTTAACTCAATGTAGAAACTAAAAATCATACCTATTTTTTTTAGGGAAAATGAGGGATAACCCCCTCAGTACACAAAATAATAGAGTCCAGGCCCATTTTAATATTTACCATTTGTAAAGAAATCTAAAATTAACATTAGGAATTGTGAGACCCCCCTCACGTGTTTATTATTCCAATTTTGTCATTTCTTCCCCCACTCTTTCTCTCTCTTCCCCCTCTCTTCTCAACCGTCATTTTTGACGTGTTATTCATTTATTATTTTTCTTCTCTCTCCTCTCTCCTCTCTCTTCCACAATTTCCTCTCTTCTCTCTCCTCTCTCCTCTCTCTTCCACAATTTCCTCTCTTCTCTCTCCTCTCTCGTCTCTTCTCTCTATTCTCTCTCTTCCACAATTTCCTCTCTTCTCTCTCCTCTCTCTCTTCTCTCTCTCTTCTTTCTCTTCCCTCATTTCCTCTGTTCCCGTTCTTTCTCCTCTCTCCTCTCTCTTCCCTCATTTCCTCTGTTCCCGTTCTTTCTCCTCTCTCCTCTCTTCTCTCTCTTCCACAATTTCCTCTCTTCTCTCTCCTCTCTCCTCTCTTCTCTCTATTCTCTCTCTTCCACAATTTCCTCTCCTCTCTCTCCTTTCTCTCTTCTCTCTCTCCTTTCTCTTCCCTCATTTCCTCTGTTCCCGTCTGTTACATTTTTTCTCTTTAGTTTCTCTATATCTTCTCAATACTTTATATTTTCTTCTACATCTCATCTCATTTTATAACACCATAGTATCTTAAATTGAAATATAATATAATGAATTAATGGAAAACTATAGTTGACTACCAATTTTGTATAGTTGACATCGGAACAATTGTAGTTGACTATCCAATTTTTGTAGTTGACTATGGCAACAATATAGTTAACTACCATTTTTTTATAGTTGACATCGTAAAAATTATAGTTAACTATCTAATTTTTATAGTTGACTCTGGAAAAAACATAGTGAACTATCTTATTTTATAGTTGACTCTGGCAACAATATAGTTAACTACCAATTTTTTATAGTTGACATCGTAAAAATTATAGTTAACTATCTAATTTTTATAGTTGACTCTGGAAAAAATATAGTGAACTATCCGATTTTATAGTTGACTCGGATATATGACTGTAAATTTTTAAGTTTTTCGACAACAATGATCTCTTCTTTGTTGTGGACTCTGATAAAACAAATTTCATACGAAACAAATATTTATGAGTCAACAAATAGTGCGACTATAGATCTGTAGATCTAAAAAACAAGCTTGTTTACAAACTCCATTTTTGAATAATCAACCATGGAAGAATTCCGAACCGTCGCATATGGTCGTCGCGTACTGTTGCATACGGATCTGTAGGAGTCTTCGATTTGTCGTCCGGAGTCGCTGATAATGGTGTCAGAAAGAGAAATTATGGGGTAAATGCACAAAATTAGGTTAATAGAAGTCGGTGATAGAGATGGGTGTATAGGAAACTACCTGTTCTTCTTCTTGCCGTTCTTCACCATTGTTTGTCAACCTGTGTTGCTGAACGAATTTTACAATAATGGTATTCTGGTTTTTTTTTTCTCTGAAGATATGTAGCAAACTAAGGCAATGTCCGAAAGGGGAAAAGATCCGATATATATTGCAGTTTGTTTTTTGGGCGATTTTCTCGGCATAAATATAGCAAACCAACAGAAATGAGAGAGAAATTATATTGAAGAAAATGGTTGAAGATATGCAGCTTTTAGGGAAAACGGTGGGGGGGGGTCTTTGCTATTACAAATTATAGGGGTAGTTCAGTAATTGACATTTATGAGGGGGTTTGACCCATTAAAAATATTGTAAGGTGGTTAGTCTTAATATTTTTTCTAATGAGGGGGTTATATCTTATTAACCCTTTTTTTTAACTTAAACTACAAATTGAGAATCATTGCATGATCTCGTATCTAGACACAATTTTTTTGGAAATCATGTGTTGGATCTTAAAATAGATTTTTTATTTTATTTTATTAATACTCGATCGAATTTAGATGTTTATAATATTCCATTTCCTACTATTTGTTAATATCTTATGCATGTGTATTAAATTATTAATCATGTCAGTAGATTCATAAATTAAAGTAATTAATTAAATAAAATACTTTTTAGAGTAAAATAATCTGAATTACCCTTTAACATCAGTCCTAAAATAATACATAACTTTCATTCTTAATTATCGACAAACTCAGTAGCGGAGCCAGTATACGACCAGAGGAGGCCATGGCCCCCAACAGTTCTTAAATCCCTAGCGTATAATCTGTATTATCACCCCTTCATAAAAGTTTTTTAATGCATTTGACCCTATAAATTTAAAATTCTGACTCCGCTCGTTAACAAATTTATATATAATTAAACTACATCTATAAATTTATAATGGAAGACTATATTAACATAAAAGAACACATGTTTAGAACATATTCTATAAACACTCCACATAACAACATCAACATGTATTAGTATATAGTGAATTAAACATTATAAAAGGTACTGAGATTTGGCCACCATATGTCTTAATTAATCTGTGATTAGAGAATAGCTTAAGGCCCTAATTGTCCATTGTTTAGGGGCTTAATAAACGCGCTTAAGTACAAAGAAAAGAAGACAAGAAAAACAAGACATATTTTTTTTTATGAGACATCCCTTTTCAAGTTGCAATGAAAAAGACAAGTTATTGTTATGCAACTTCTTGGTTTTATTGTATAAACAAACATAAGGTAGCTCGATTCGATCTTAAACTCCACGTATTTTGTTTAGTTTATTTTTATACATATATCGGCGAAATTACGCGGTTGCAAGCAGAACTAGGGGTATAAATGAGCTGAGCCGGCTCGTGAGCTCAATGAGTTGGCTCGAAGAAAACTCGAACTCGCACTCGGGCACGAACTTTCTGACGAGCTGAACTTGAAATTTTTTCTTAGTTGTTCGTCAGGTCACGAGCTGGCTCGCGAGCCTACCTTTTATTTTCATTTTACTTTTTTTGTATATCATTTATAATTAAAATAATATATAATAATATAAACTATAATAATAATAATAATAATAATAATAATAATAATAATAATAATAATAATAATAATAATAATAATAATAATAATAATAATAATAATAATAATAATAATAATAATAATAATAATAATAATATAAAAGGTGCATATACAAATTTTAAAAAATAAATATTAATTATTCATCTCTTAATTCATTCATTATAATATAAATATCTTTTTTAATAATTAAAAATGAATAATATAAATAAGTTAGAAAAACAAAATCCAAATGACCTCGAGCTCGAGACCAAAAAAAGTATTCGATGAATTTGAGCTTGAACTCGTTAAAACAGGTGCAGACTCTGCTCATTTACACCCATAAGCAAAACTTATAAACGGATCCATATTATTTAAAAAAGAAAACTTATAAAGTTCGACTAATTATTAAATTGGTTTTTGAATTGAAAATAACAAGTATATGCATGTTAGTTGAAATGAGGTGTCTACGTCATATCTTCCATATAATATATAATATATTAATTTAAAATATAATTGCAAATTGGAAAATCTGGTAAAAGAGAAAATAAGAGTTGACTAGTCAAAATTGTCTTTCTGTCGGATAATAATAATTGGGCGAACATCATTTGACAATTGAACATGTTCCGCCGTTTGTACTTTTGTTGTTGTTCTTGTATACTACTCTCCATATTTTCCACCATGTAATTTTATTCTATTAATTAATAATAATAAATAATAAATTATTTTATTTATCAATATTAATAATAACACAAAAAAGGGTTTGCAATTAAATCAAAATTAGAACAACTAACATGGTGAGTACGTTTGCTATAGTATGGAATTTGGCAGATACGATTTGTCAATCAATTTGTTTAGTCTCTATCTCAAAATTCAATCAATTTGTTTTGTGGTTCTTAAATAAAATTCATTATCTGATTAATGACTATACATTGTGGGTCAATTACCTATCACAAAAAGTAGTTGGTCCATTTGATAATTGATTGAAGGGCAAATTAGGGATATTTACAAATTATGTGGCATTTGTATTATTGCAGATATCTTCTTAAAATTAATAGCCCGTTATAAACTCTAACTGAATGAATGAATTGTTTAAACTATATTTGGATAAATTACGCGTACTCCTTGAGGTAAGAAAAAAATATTACAGCTACATCTGTGTGGATATGTTACATTTACCCCCTGAGAATAGATTTGGAAATTCAAAATTCAGTTACTCATAACTCCATGAGAATGTAATTGTGAGATAAAGAAATTGTTCGAAGAGGCATTTGTAATTAATATTACCATATATATTTGTGTGCTTAACGGGTGATTATTTATGTAAATCTAGTACAAAATCATCTGATGCATTTGAAAAATGTATGCCACGTGTAAAATAAATAAATAAATAAATAAAGAAAGAAAAAACAAAAAAGAAAAAAGAAAAAAGAAAAGGAAAATAAATTGAAGGCCTGTGAATTTGTTTATCCGGCTTGTACGTGGGCTACTCTTTTTAAAGCTGGCCCAATAGGCAGACCCCAATTTTTTAGGGGGTCTATCTATAATTATAAATATTTATTACGGTAAATAACATTTAAGCCCCGTGTGGTTTCATCTTTTCACACGTGATCCCCTTATACTTTTAATATACGCACATAACACCCTTGTTGGCATTCCATTTGACAAATAATCATGCTAATTAGTAAGACAAAAAAATTAATACAAGCAGATGATTATGTGCTCATATTAAAGTATAAGGGGATCATGTGCAAAAATGTCAAACCACAGGGGCATAAGTGCTATTTTATCCTATTTATTCACAACAAACTCGAATTAGAAGAAAATTAAAATAAATAAAGGTTTTATTAAAAAAGAAACATGTGGTAATCTTATTATTTTACTTGGGATAGATAGTTCAAGAGATATTTGCTATATCATCTAACGATCACTTTATTAGAGCAACTCCAACCGGGTTATTAAATGGGTTATCAAATCACTTAACCTCCATTTGACTCCCCAATTTTAAAAATTATCTCCTCCAATGGGGTTATTAAAATAGGGTTCTATTTTGATAACTCATCCTTCGGGGAGTAAAAATACATCCCAAATAAATAGTTATCAAATATTCTCCTAAAAAATAGGAGCGCGTGAAAAAAGAAAAACCTCAACATAATTGAGTTTTCTTTCCTATACGTAAAAATTAAATTTTCTACAACTTCAACAAATTTCCACTGGAAAAAAAATCTCAACAGAATAAAATTAAATTTTCTACGTTTTCAACATTTTTTTTTTCTTTCTCTAGATCTTCAACAAAGTTCCACGGAAAAAAATAATCTCTATTTATATATAATTTTTTTTTCTATTGAAAAGGTAAAAACTTGATTAATATTGATTTTGAAGATAGTTTACCAGAAAAATCGGTTTGTATGGTTATTTAAAATAGATTGAAAAATAAATAATATATAAATAATCATAAATTTGTTTGATAATTGTTTTTTGATACTTGCGGTCGGAGTTCACTAGTTGTATAGAGATATCAAAGTATAATCCTGATTATCAAATGAGTATTTGATAACCCCATTTGATAACAATGGGTTGGAGTTGCTCTTACAATTTATTTATTTTCTTAAAGAAAACCAAATACTTAAACTTCAAAACTTTACGAATTCCGAGTTCCATTTCGGCAATGATGGACTCAGATGAGTCGACACAACTCGCGAGTCAAGAAGTTCCACTATTGGTTTAGAGCTAACACACCTAGGCACCTTGTATTGACTAATGGAAGCACCCGGCCTAGAGATTGCATGGTTCATAACCTCTTCAAATGTACCACTTTTCACTAATCGAATCTCCAACGGTCCGATCGAGCCTTCAACCCGTAGTAGCCGGTACATCGGATTGAGCGACTCCTCCATGGCTAGACAACAATTTTCTAGAACGACCCCGTCGCTAGGTAAATTGACCGAATAGCCCTTCGTCGGTAATAGTAATTCCCAATATATCACGTAGTGTCCCGGGATCTTTGTCGTGTCCGCAAAGCTCGTGTACTCAACCACACTCGTGTTGAATTCTTGGAGCAGTTGAGATGCACTCTCAACTGCTGCTTGCAGTTCAACCTCGCTTGTCTTCTCCCAGTCGATATTGAGCACCACGTTTTTCCGCCCGATGATTTTGAATTTTGGCGCCGAATTATGGAATCCGGTGACTTGGAGGATGTCACCTCCCCGATATCGATACAAACCGGCAAATGTGGTGATCACCACCTCGTATTCCTTGCCAATTTCAACATCCACTAGGTCAACGAGTACTTCCCGTTGATCGCGGACGACGAGTGGCAGGAACTCGAAATAGGCCATGTTTGGCATGAGGGTGTACGAAATCTCGGATGCTCCATCGGACACGGGATCCAGATTGAGCCCGAAGTAGCATTCCGAGGACGCGTAGATCGTGGACGCTTTAGGCAACCCACCGCTATAGTAATCGAGAGTCGGGATGTATCGAGACATATTTCCCGTGACAATCACGTCGAGAAACTTCGTGTTCGGCCAAATTCTCTTGATAATTCCCTCACAATTGTCGTCCGCGCACTCCCGGGCGATCAAGTCCGCCAAATCCGGGTCGGGCCGGATTACACGGGTCATGCATCCGCGGATCGACGGGTCGGACACTTTCGGATGGAGCGACCCGGTTCGGATATCGTGGGTCAATTCTCGCCAGTGGTTCTTGAGAAACTTGATTATCCGGATTAGGCCGTAGGCGAACGACGTTCCTACACGGAGGATCCGTTCGCGCTCATAAAGTCCGCACAACATTTGAGTGTAGGTGCTTTGGAATGGGTCCCCACATAGAATGGCTTCGATGGGGCTTGTGTGAACATTGTTGCTAGAGTTATAGGGCCGGGTTTTGAAAAGATTCGTTTTGAACAAGCTTGTCGCGGTGGTTCGTGCAATAATCCCGCCCTTGGTTTTTATTTCGGGCTTTGTATACATGAACATAAGTGTTTTTCCTTTGTCGAGTCCGTTGACGTGCCTTCCGCGCAAAAGAAACAACGAAAACGAATAAGTTTACACGTTAATAATTACGAAATAATTCATGAATTTGACGTTCAAATTTCAATAATGGACCCTAAAAACAAAATATGATTACCAATAGAGGCTAATATGCAAATAATGGAAAAAATTATCAATCAACAAGTATTTTATAATTTGTTATAACCCTAAAAGATTTAAAATAAAAGATTTTTTTTAAAATATTTAGGTATTCGATACGGTACAATATACCAGACATTAATATTGTATACGGTACCAAATACTGGAATTTAAAAAAAATACTGAATACCGAACCAAATTTTTGGTTTGGTATTTGGCACGAAGCAAGTTCTTGATTCGATACGGTCCGGTCGGTTTATCGACCGAGTGAACACCCCCTAACCCCTAATAGTTCACATGGGTAAATTAAAATTTCAAAGAAATATTCCTCGAATCGAAAGTATCTATTACTATTGACAGCGTATATAAGGGTGAAAATGTCAGACGATGCATATTTTATGGGATATAATGTAATTATGCAAACAATAGGAATATTTTCATAATACATGTATATATAGTCAGTGGCGAGGCCAGAAAAAATTGTGAGGGGGGGCTTAAACATTCGGGGGTTCGGGGGCAGAGGCCCCGAAAAAATTTTTGCTATCAAAGAAATTTAAGATGAAAATTTGATTTGAATTTTTTTTCTCTCTATTTTCGTAAGATAATACCAAAACGAATCGCGAAAGTTAAGGCAATGTTTGGAAGCGTTTTGGATCTTATTTTGATTTCATTTTGAGTAAATATGTTTTGGGGGAATAATTTGAGAATGAAAGTAATGTTTGTTTGTATTTTGGAAGGAGACAAAATACACTATAGCAGTCAAATCATGTTTAAAGGTGTTAGAAAAAAGTATTTTGAAGAAAAAAAATGAAAGATGAAGTGATGTTTATTTGTTTTTTAGTGAAGACATTTTTTACTGTAGCAGTCAAATCATTTTACTGTAGCAGTCACATCATTTCTGAAGGAGAGAGAAACTTTTGAAATTGTTTTGAAAAAATGATTTAAAAAGTGTAATAAATCTCATTTGTTTTGGGGAAACAATGAAAACAAAATGGAAATGGTTCCAAACATTGCCTAAATTACTATAAAAATCTAAGAAACATGAATATCAAGTCGATTATGAAATTTACACAATTGACTTATAATTAATATTCTTAAGATGAAAGAAAAGACATCAAACGTTAATTGATCGCCAGTGTACGTTCGATCGCCGGTGGGTAGCAATTTAACCGCCATTAATGCGCCTATGCAATAGAACAAAGTTTTTTTTTCTTTTTCAAATAACGAGAACTAAGTTGGGAAATAGAAGACGAAACAAGTTAGACATGAAGGGGGCTTTGAGAAGTGAGACGACTTTGAATAAGTGAACTTAACTAGAGTAAAAGTAAGGGCTCGTTCGGTTACCGCTATAAGGTTCTACTGACTAAATAGTAGGGGCTAATAGCATGTCCGGTTGGCAAGATTCACACTTATTCGAAACCGCTACTAAAATCAAAGCCCGCTATTAGATGCTACTATTTCATTAAATTAGTAGCACCCCTCCCCCTGAGATTAATTTAATAGGGGGTGACTAAAAAGGAAAAAAACACTTTTATCCTTAAAATCATATTTTATTATTGTAAACTAAGTGGTTTTATAGACAATTCATATATAATAACCGATTTTAACAATTTAATAGAAAATCTAATCTAAGAAATCGAACATGCTACTAACTAATTAATTAATTAGTCAGTAGAGAGTTAATCTAATCTCATGTAATCCAATCTAATCCAATATAGGAAACCGAACGAGCCCTAAGTGGATAAAATAATATAATTGGGTAGGCAAAAAAAAAACAAAAAAAAAAGGAATATATATATATATATATATAGTAGGGAAAAATTTTGAAGTGAGGGGGGGCTTGAGTCCACCCTAGCCCTTGGGTGGACTCGCCCCTGTATATAGTGTATACTTACAAATTTAAAATAGGAGTGATAAGACTGCAAAGACGAAGACGACGATCGGATTCATCTTTGGTATAAGGAATGAGCTTTGGCTCACCACTCGATGTTCCAGAGCTGCTCAGTATAAACATATTTTCATGTATATATATATATATATATATATACACGGCTTAATTCCACTTTGCACCCTTGAAATATACTATTTTGGCATTTTGCACTCTTGAAACACAAATTATCATGGACAATGCACCTCACGTGAGTTTTTAAAGCTAGTAAAGGTAATTTAATATGTTTAGTTGTATTTAAACGTTATACTTTTTATCACAAAAAATATAATACGAAAAAAAATTCTTCAGCTATTTCGTTATCAAGTTATTTCATTCCAAATATTTCTACTTAATATTTCCACCAATTACAATAAAATATCTAACAATCGAATAATTCAGTGATAAAATTTTACTTAGATTTTATTTTCTAAGAAAATGTCAAAAAAAAAAAAATTATCGGTGTGATTGTAATTTTTTCGCACTTTGTGTGCTCGAATTAGGTTGGAGGTTGAAGAAATAACAATTTAATTTGTTATTTTGCACCCAAAGTAAACCCAATAAAAAAAATAACTTATCCTTTTATTATTCAATTAAAGATATATTGTGAATAATTTATTGTGTTTTGAAGGTGTAAAGTGCAATTATTATTTTTTAAGGGTGCAAAGTGCCAAAAGGCTTCATTTTAAGGGTGCTAAGTGGGATTAAGCCATATATACACATTTAGGTAAAATACAAAAGGTATTTTAAGTAGTATAATAAATATTGGGAAAAATACAGTTTTCATCCCTCAAGTTTGCACTGATGTCACATTTGGTCCTCAATGTTCATAAAAAACACATTTGATCCCTCACAATTAAAAAATTCAACACATTTTAGTCATTTCCGTCAATTTTCCAATAGTACTAACCGAATCAAGCTTGTGCCCATCAGTTCATTAACTGACGAATTAACGTTAAATTGATGAAAATGACCAAAAGTACTGTTAAATTATTGTAACACGAGGGACCAAATGTGTTTTTTGTGAACATAGG